TGTGCCTGTAACCCCAGCATTTAGGAGGCTAAGGCAGGTAGTCTAAGCCTGCTGAGGACACGTAGTAAGTTCAAGGCCTGTCTGGGGTACAGAGTGCCCTGTCTCAAAAAAACCAAAATAACAAAACTGTCCCAAATGCTTATATCGCAAGGGTTGTGATCCCCCTTTTTGATAATGTCTGAACATTTTCTAATAAATCAAAAGCATGCAATAAAAATATGTTCATTGTGAACAATTAAGATCCCCAGATTACATTAGAGAAATGTGTAACAATAAGCACTGCTTTGCCTTTAAGAACAGCCAGAGCAAGGTGAACAAAATAGTTGTCAGTCAAAACTATTAAAGATTTATCACAAATAAAGACTAATTTTATATTAATATACATGTTACAGATTTATATATAAATGATTGCATATAAGAGTCAAGTTATTTGTTATTTAATGCCTAACAACCTTTTTATGTTATAATTTTTTTTGATGACACCTAGGGTTTGAACTTGGCTCTGCACTTGCTAGGTAGGCACTCTACCACCTGGGCCACACTCCCAACCCTTTTTGCCTTAGCTATTTTCCTAATAGGGTTTTGTGTTTATTCCTGAGCCAGTCTTGACCGTGATCCTCCTATTTATGCTTCTCACATAGCTGGAACATAGGCATGCACCACTGTGCCCAACTTTTTATTGGTTGAAATGAGGATCTTGCAAATTTTTTGCCTGGTCTGGCCTGGAGCTACAACCCTCCCAATCTCTACCTCCTGAGTAGCTAGGATTATAGGAGTAAGTCACTGTGCTTGATTACAACTTTTTAGTATACATTTTTTCAGAGATAACATTAAAAATATTTTCCTGATTAGGAAGAGTGTCAAATTTTTAGTCTCAGAAATAGCAAGTTATATTTGTATCCTCACCAGTTATTTTTTCTTCTCCCTTGCATTGAGCACTGAACTCCACTGTCCTTACTTTAGTCCACACTCATACCACATCAGAGGTGGAGAGTTCTGGAATCTTCCCATTTCTCATTCCTCTCCCCAAACACCATCATCCAAACCCTGAGGCTCCAACATCAGGGTTTTGGACTTACCAGGCTCTTCCTCACTTAGGGAGAGTCAGCCCATTCCTCAGTGGACCATGTCAGAACTTGTCCAGGCTTTCCTCTTTTTCATGTGGCCTCCTCTGACCCTTCATCTCCCTGGCTTTTTCCAATTCCCATCTTTGTACATGTTCATAATCCCCCTGCCTGGAACTCCATGCACTCAACCTTTCTAAAACCTACAAACTTCATATCTTTTGGACCCACCAACATTGTCACTTTCTTTGTGAAACTGTCCATACCCATTTGTGTGTTCCTATTGTATATACCCCAAATCTAATATAAAGATAGATGAAATATACCTTACCATCAAAGAGCTATAAATAATAATAACAAACACCACAGCACAGTATATTGTACTTGCTATGTGCCAAGCAGTAGTCTAAGCACTGGACATGTACTTACCTCATTGTACAAATGTACAAAAGTACAATGAAGCGATTACTACCATTATACCCTCTTTATAGCTAAAGAAACTATATTAATTAAATAACTTGACTGAGATGACACAGATTAAAACCCAAATTCTGATAGAACTACAATACCTTGTAAAAGAGAAAGTATTTTGTGAGTCAGCACAAAGCAATGTATATTGAATTCCTCTCATGCAAGTTATTATGTGCTTTTTAGGAGACAGAAGAATTTGTAAGAAAAATCTGTTTAATTTAGCATTTCTGTTATTCTTTTTGTTACTGTGCTTCTATTTTTGCTGATTTTACATTTAAATCTTGTTTCTTTAACTAGAACATTTTCCAAGTATTTACAACCCAGAGTGAAAATTAAACAGACACATGAATTATTCTCACATAAAACATATGAGAGGTGTCAGAGAGATGTACAAACACGGTTCTAGATTCCATGTGGGTATGAATGTGAGAGTGAAGTATATACAGTTGGAGTCAAAATCCCCAAATTCACAAAGTCTTACTTTAAATTAAGCTTTAAGAAAGCTTAATTTTTGTGCCACATATAATGGAGAGAAGTAAAGGAAAAATGAGGAGAAAAGCACAGCAGTGAGAGTAGGAGAAAAGGAAAGGCACCCTGGGGAGGTAGAAATGGTGAAACAGGGCTTGGACTCTGGACACTCCTTCAGAACTACCTACAGCAGTCCTTGGCTAGCCCAGCCCTTGAGCCATGGCTGTGATTAATTACCCACATTTAATTTATCATTTTGGTCATATTCTTTCTTCTTTGATCTCTGATTTATGACAATGAGTGTAATTCTGAGTGTCTCATTAGAAGATTATAGGTTGGATTGGGACCTCGCTGGGACATATTAAGAATGAGTGATGTCTTTATTTTTTATATAACTAAGGAATCTATAATATTTATAATTTTAAGGTAAATAACTATTAAATTGCTAATTGTTGCCTATTAAACTGAATGATAGCTGCTGTATTGTCAGTGTTGTTGTTCATATCCATACCCACATGTTTTTAAAAGGCCCTATCTTATATTCCCCAGAGCAAAGGATGCTCCAAGTCTGTGGTGGGAGTCGCATTTAGTCATGGATTATTTTCAGATTATAAAGTCTTGTTGCAAGAAAAAGCCTAGTCATTTCCTCAGAATAAGCTTGCAGCCTGTCAAATCTGTAACCAAAGCCTTAAAATGTATTTAAAAATTACTTGTATATTTTTTATGAATGAAGAGTTTAACAAGGTCCAACGTTAATGAGCAATTTTAATCTTGGTGTCCAAATTGCCTAAACCAAAGGTACTCTGACTATAAGCCTCACTGCCTTCTCTTACTGATCTCACAATTCATAGGTGAAGTAGAACAAATTAAAGGATGCTATACCTTGCAATGTACACAATAGTCTGTCTACCAGAATGGCATGTTCTCCAAAGTTGCTTTCTACTATAGGAGGGAGGAGAATAGAAAAGAAAAACTGCAAGGACCTGCCAAAATGAAGTGTATTCTGTGATTCCACAGCTAATGTTTCAGGGTCACTATAAAAGAAAGGGAAAGTTTCTCATTGAAAGTCCCTGTTTAAGTGTCTAAAAACCAGTGACCAACTGACCTAGAGTGCTGTAATAGGTTAATGCCAGGAATCTGCAGAACTTGCAAGGCTTGAGAGATAGGAAGAAGAAAAAGATGAAAAAAACAAATAAAAGAAACTTTCCTTGGCTATTTAATTCCCTTTTCCTTCTTTTTTCTTTTAAAAGATCAAACGTCAGGAAAGGAAAAAAAATCCTTTCTTTGAACTTTCTAAGAAAAGTCAGGAAAATAAAGGCATCTCTTAGTTTAGACAACAAGAATACATTAGTAGTTTGTCCTTTTTCTTTCTTGGGCATTTACATAACATTTGAAAGCTGTCACTTTAGAAGAAACTGTACATTCTGTTGAAAAATGAACATCCCTTGTCATACTGAGGGACATTCCCAGAAGCCAGGATCATAATCATACATGTGAGAAGTACAAGCATCACTGAGCATTTCTGATAGAGTCTCTGAAAGTATTTCTTCATTACTTTATATAAAGCTTGAAGTCACACAGGAAAGAAAATGAAATAAAGGCAAGTTTGAAAAACTCATTTCAGAAGAAAGGTAAGATAAAAAATTTCCATAACTTTGGTCCACTGAGTTTTCTTCTAAGTTGTGCATATTTAGTTTCCTAAGCAGAACTCACAAGAAACAAAAACCTCTCTCCCACATAGAAAATAAAGGATTCCCAGAAAAGCTGAAATTAACTTTTAGAGCTTGGCTTTTTCTAATGGACAGATTTGTGTGGGCAACAACAACAAAACCAAAAGCTTCATTGTTGATTAAAAATGGGACTAGTGTTGTTGAATAACAACCCTGTTCTGGCAACAAGATTCCATTCCATGTTCTTCAGCATTTTTATTTTGCCTAATACTATCACCTTGGGATACTTGTATTCCACTGTGTCTTCATCTTTAGATCATATGACAATCTCTTTTTCTTTTTGAAAAGCCAATAGTGTTTCCAAAACTACAACCAGGATTAAACTTCTGGCAACATGACAAAATCTAGACAAATGAATTAAAAAGCATCAGTTTAGCAGTTCCAGTATTTAGGGCCTCATTAGCTTAAAGGAGCAAATGTTTCCACAAAGACAATCTATCAAGAAACTCAAGCTTTTCTCTTGGTCTAGGTTTGTAGTCAGTCTACCTGGAGATGCTCCTGGAATTTTAATTTTGTGTTTAAAGTAGAGTTGTGTTAAAAAGAACCATGTTAGCAGAATGGACTCTGTGCCCAGTAGCACAAAGGGAGGAAAATGATTTATTAAAGCAGTGGGAATACCCATAGAGATAAGAGCAAATGCAAGCAGGAATACAGCAAATGCCTACCAGCTTTGGCAACAGAGAAGACATCTCTTGGTTTTCATTTAGATTATTTTAAACTGGAACTGTTGCTAGTTCCCTCATAAATAAGAGGTTCACTTGTACAAAAATATACATGGTACTGTCAGTGAAGCTAGAGATCCTTTGTTACCCAAAACAAAAAGGGACATTTTATTAAAAAGCTACAAATTAACACATAATTCTTCCTATCAAAAATCATTATATTTTCTATTTCAATTCTACCACCTCATGTTTAAACATTTGTTATTTTCCAAATATCTTTTATATCTTTCAAAGCATTTTCTCAACCAGCTGTGGTTGCTAACTTGGAGCTCAGACTACTGAAGTTGAAAACAAAAAGCAATTGATAAAAACAAAGGCCCTGGACCCCATGCTTCAGACTGTGTTTCTGGGAAACACTATCAAAACCAAGAATATTTTAGAACTATCTGTCACAGAGAATTCCAAACTTCTAGAGATATTTTTGTCCTATGTCATTTTTTCTGGCACTGCAGAAAAAGACAGCAAGGCACAACAAATATATTTTGCAGAGTAATGTAAATGGCTTAAGTATAAGTGTCATTTTAGCTGCTACATCTTTTGCTCACCTGTGGTATCACTCCAAAGGCTTTCCTCCACTGCTGCAAAGTTATTGAATCCCAAGACACACCATCAATCTGGATTTCTCCTTCAGTGTTCAGCAGTCTCAAAAAAGCTGATAACAAAGTACTCTTTCCTGATCCAGTTCTTCCCAGGAGGCCCACCTATAAGGAAAAGTGATGGAATTACTCTTGGGACACACAAATATCATGCCATTAATATAATCTAGCATTGTATTTCAATAAAAATCATTGGAATTGTTTTCTTCTGTCACCAGGGAAAGATTTTTACCTATTCATTCCAACCTTTTCCCACACTCCCAATTTTGATCACTATTGATATAGGGAAGAATAATGGAACAGAATTCAGGAGCAGGCCATATGGAAATAGACTTATTGTTCAGGCTTCATTTATTACTGACCTTTACTAATGACAAAAAGTCTGAAAATACCCATTTTTCATTAAGAAAAAGCAAAGACAGAGTGTTTTAATGCATGTCATTTCTAAGATGGGCTCAAGCCACACAGCCTGATCTAGTTACACACGTGGATACAAACATGAAAATTAATCTAACATAAGTCTAATATTTAGATAGCATCCTTAATAAATTAAGTGAGTGTCAATTTCATGCCTGACAATAAAAAAGAATATGTTTGGGGAGCTGTATTTTCACAGAGAAAGGTTGTGTATAGGCCTCACCATTACTCAGTGGATAAGTTCTTGGACAATTGTCAAATCAAATTCTAACTTCTGACCCTATTAGCAAAAAGGGAATTTTGGGAAGAAAAGGCATAGTAAAGAAAAAAAAAAAACTATTCTTGCTATCTAAAGACCAACACTATAGGAACATAGTGTAGAATTTAGGATGTCATGCCTTGCATGGGGAGAGCAGTGCTATGGTTGGCCCATAGAGAGCCTCAACTCTGTATCCTGATGTCAGCTCAGTTCTCAACCTTGGAGGAAGGACACTCCTGCACTCATTACCTGACCACGGAATAAACTTCCTGGAAATTCAGCAGCACTGAATAAGTATTCATTTCATTCTCTTTACATCAGACCTTTTAAAAAAAAATCATTTAGCCTCTTTACAGTATAGCTGTACTATAAAGAAAATGTTTTTTTAAAGAAGTGATTTTCATACTATCCAGGTGGAGGACTGTTTGGTTTTGCTTTTTAAATTTCCATTTCACTGCAAATTAAGATCTTAAATATATAATAAAATGTATTTTAAATACTTAGTCTCAATTTTTATGAACCAGTGCATAGACCATGATATGTTGTAAGTATGTATAACAACCAATAATGATAATAATAATACTACTTGTTTGATACTTATTAAGAGCTTGGTATTAAGCTAGGCCTCTAGGATAACTTGGTAAATACTAATGACAATAACAATTGCCTTCCTATCTATCTTAAGAGCTCTACAATGGAATTTTCAAATGTTTGTTCTCTGAGAAAACTGAGAAGGCCAGATCAACCAAATATCATATAGAAGACCTTCATAGGTGTTGCTTGTTCATAGTACACAAGAAACAATTAAGAAAAGTAAATAAATATTACTTGATCATTTCTTGTGTTCACCTCATGAATATAAATTCAACAACGATAGGATCGTCTATCTTGCTTTCCATTCTCATCACCTGACACAATTGTTGGCTTACATAAAGTACTCAGTAAATACTTGTTTGGATTGAGTGAGGGATAGTCAGATGGAAAGATGGTAGATGCATGAGCAGATGAATGAATATATATATTTAGAAGATTTTATTAATAAGTGGATTTAGTTAATTTTGGTCAATTACCAAATCAACTCTTAGTTTTAAAATATTGTGGAATTACATATGCACATTTCCATTTCTGAATTAGCCCATGTTACACAAACATATTCACTATGTATCATGATTTTTCAAACATAACAGTAAAGCTTTGCATAAACAATCCAGCATAGGTGAGGAATAGTGGAAGAGGAGAAAAGGAAGTTCAATAGATAAAAGTGATTTGTTCTAAGTTCATATCAAGAATATTTGGTAAAAAGTGCCCTGAGGTCCCAACCTTTCCTTCTGAAGGAAATACTGAAATTTTTAGAGAACTCAGTTTCTATCTTGGGATAACACTGGACTGAGAGAAAATTTATTAATCTTTTGTTTAGCTTTAAATTTTTTAGCTATTGCTGTGGTTTCCTCATACCATTTAACTGCTAGCAATGAATTAAATCTAGCAAGTTTTTCAACAGCAAGGTATCTGACTAGTTTCTACTTAACAAAGTCTTTTTGTTTATATAATTGGCACATAATAATTCTTTTTCAGGATTTTTTAGGGGTGCTTCCTGCAAATAAGCTTCAAAGACATAACCTAAGTTCAAGTCAATGTTTTCTAGTAACTTCAGTGCACCTTCTCTCTGGGAATTTTGGATCAAGATAAATCAAACTATCATGTGGAGAGTTAAACAGTGTTGAGTTTGGTACGAGTTGTAATTGCACTGTAGCATGAATAAAAGTCACAGAACATTCCTTTCTTACTTGCCATTTTCATACTTCAACAGATGGAAAACTGTTGTAATTATTTTTCATTTCCTTATGGTTTCCAGAAATCAAGATAGCAAAAAAGGTAAAATTTAGATCCACCAGGTGACTACAATTGATCCTTTTTATATGTTCATATGTCTGTATATAATAACACATGTGTGCTTCTCATATTACTAAATGATTCAGCTACTTCACACCAAATCAAATAGGCAGTCAGGTGCTTGGTTGATTTGATCCAAACACCAGATATTCTTATGAAGCATTTCTGGCACTGTCATGTTTTGAAGGGACTACAACTGAAGAAAACAGCTAAAGTCACCCAAAGAATAGATCTTGAAGTACTAATAGATATCTATTTAATCACAGGACTGTACAGGACTATAATACATGCAATATGTCCTCTGATGAATTTGGTCATTTATCATGAAGAACTTGACTCCAAATTAAAAACCAATCTGCATTTTAAGAGGAAAAAAGAAAGAATGGGAAGGTGACATAGCTGTAAAATTTAAACAAAAAAGGAATCCTTTTAAGAAAAAGTATTTGAGATTGAAAAGAAAAATAGATTTTTTAAAAGGCAATGGTTGTGCAATAATTGCTACATTCCTCATGCAATGAAAATAAAAACTTTTAAAGTATAGATTCTGTGAACTAAGAGTTTTGATTAAGAGCAAACAAAAGGATAGGGTTTTTTTCATCTAAAGTAATTGCTATGAACAAAATGTTTTAACATTAAGATTGGAAATTTTTATGTACAAAATATTGATTTTTTCATATATTTCTCAGGCAGTTAAGAACACTGAAATTCATTAAAAATTAAAAGATGTATGGACTTAAGTTCTGAATTTTCAACTGTCTTTTTAATATAAAGAGTAATTAACAGCTGAGTATTCGGTAGCTTTGAATACCCAAAATATTACAATAAATTTGAGTCTGCTTCTTAATTCACATAAAAAATGTGTTTGTAGTATCCTGCTATACTTTGCAAGATGCTGCTACAAATTCCAAGGGCCAGGCTATAGAAATGACATTCTTAAAATAGCTACTCAGAATGACATTTTAAGAACCAATTCTTATTCTAAGGAAGCATATGATCTAAAAATAAGTATAAGACTTATACTTATTCAGTCATTCATTTAAAATTTATTAAGCTAGACAATGTGTTAAATAAAGAGATAAAAAAGTAAAAAGCAGGACTTCAGACTCTGGTCTGACATGTATTGAACTTGGAAATTCTTACTCAATCCTAACATGTAAAAAGCTGAGCAAACTAGAAAATGAGCAACTTTTCCTGGATCCGTCAGAGAAGTTCATTAGAATGCAAACCACTATCTCTCCAAAACTGGAGAGACAGACAATCAGAGGCAAAGAATCACAACTTACCAGATAGAAACTTACTAAGCAGAAACCTGTGAGGGAACCAGAACCAGGGCAGGAAAGCCTAAAGGGTAACTGAATACTTAGTGGGGACTCAGTGTGGACAAGGCTGAAAGGAAAACAATTCCGGGAGACACAGTCATCAGGGATCTCCAAACTTTTTTGAATTTTATTTTCAAGAATTTTAGCTCTGCCACATTTTCCAAGAATATGAAAAAAAAATCCCTTATGTTTCAGGCAAAAATGGGGTTGTAGCCATATTGAAATATATGAGAGCATGCTCTTCTATTCTAGGCACACTCTTAAGAGAAAATATTGTAGCATGCCAAGTCTATTAGAAATTTTTTTTCAAAGCCTAACTTAACATAAAGGAAAGGAAATATTCAGCTTTTCAGCCCACTCCTGCCATCTTGTCCTTTCTAATGGCTAAAAAAATCTGAGTGTGAAATTCAGAGCTAAGGGCACAGGTTCACTAAAAGATTAAGACATAATTGCAAGACTATAGAATAATACCTCACTTCCCAACACCTTACCACTACATTAACAAAAGCCTATTTGCCATAGTTCCTTTTATCTAGCACATCATGTCCACCTTTCATCAAAAAAATCACAAAGTGTTCTGAAAGGCAAAAATAAATGAACAGAAAGCAATAATTTGAAGACACAGAACAAGTGTCACAAGCACAGTAAGATATGACAGAGAAATTGGAATTATTATAATGGAAATTTAAAACAACCATGATTAACATTATAAGGGTTTTAACTGAAAAAGTAGACCACATGTATAAACAGATAGAGACTATAGACAAGTGGAAACTCAAAGGTAGAATCCAAAGAGATTCTAGAGACCAAAAAATACTATAGCAAAAATGAAGAATGCCTTTGATGAGCCCATTAGAAAACTAGACATAGCTGAGAAAAGAATCTCTGAGTTTGAGGACACGCTAATAGAAGCTGCCACTACTGAAACCAAAGAGAAAAGGACTGATAAAAAGAATGCACAAGAACTGCAAGACAACTGCAAATGTGTTACTCACATGTAATGAGAATGCCAGAAAGAGAAGAAGAAAGAAAAAAAAAGGAAGGAAGGAAGGAAGGAAGGAAAAAAGGAAGGAAGGAAGATTTAAAATAATGACTAAAAATTTCCACCAATTAATGCCAACTACATACCACATCTGCAGCGAACTCACAGAAAACCAAGGAAAATAATGTTAAAAGCAACAACAAAAACTTCATTGAGCCATATCATGTTCAAACAGTATTTTTTAAAAAACAAAATAAAGAAAAATTTTGAAAGAATCCACAGGAAAAATGCCTTATCTATAAAGAAGCAAAGACTAGAATTTTATCTAACCTCTCCCCAGAATCCAAAATGAATGGAGTAAAACATTTAAAGTACTGAAAGAAAAAAAAACACACATCAAAACAAAACTCTGTACCCTGTGAAATTATCCTTCAAAGTGAAAGACAAAAAAGAGTTTATCAGACAGGCAAACAAAAATTGAGAGATATTGCCAATAGACATGTCTTGTAAGAATGTTTATAGAAGTTCTCCAGAGAAAAGGAAAATGAAACTCAGAACTACACAAAGATCAGAAATGTTGATCTATATTAAGAAAGGAAGAATATCAGAGAAGAAATAAGTAAAGGCAAAATGAAATCTGTAATTTTTCTAATTTTTAGTTCACATAACAAAAGCCAATTTGCTCAAAATAATTATAGCAACAATGTATTTGATGTTATATGCATAAGCTTATGCTGGCATGTACATATAAATGAAATGAAAGACAACAATAACACAAGAGACAGGAGGAAAGGTCTGGCATAGTAAGAGATCAGAAGGATTGAAGTTTGAGGTCAACCCTGGGGTGATGGGGTTCTCAAGACTCCATCTAAATCAATAAAAGCTGGGCAGGGTGATGGTTCATGCTTATCATCCCAGCTACACAAATTGGAGGATCATAGTCCAGGCCTTGCTGGGCAAAAAGTGAGACCCTACCTCAAAAATAACTAAAGCAAAAAAGGGCCAGGAGCATGGCTCAAATGGTAGAGCATCTGCCTAACAAGCATGAGGCCTTGAACTCAACCTCCAGTACTGCTGCACCCCACTTAAAACAATACAGAGATGAAGAGAGGAGGAAGGAATTGTGAATATTTTGTTATTATAAGGTATTTGTACTTCCTGTGAAATGCATAGTATGATTTGAAAACAAAATTCAATTAGTGTTAAAGGTATATTGCAAACTCTAGTGAAACCACTAAAAAAAGTTTTAAAATGCTTAAGAAAGGAAAAAAATGGAATGATAAAATGCTTATTTGAACTAATGAAAAGAAAAAGGGTTGAAGATAAAAATAGGAGCAAACAGAAAACAGTAACAAGTAGACACTAATCTATTTATCCCAATAATCATTTTAAATGTTAATGATCTAAATATCTCAATCAAAGCACAAAGATTGTCAGAATGGACCGGGGGGGGGGGGGGGGGGGGAAGACCCAACTACCTGCTGTCTACAAGAAACCCAGTTTCTTGTAAATTATATAAATTAGTAGAGGGATAGAAGTTGTACCATGCAAAAGTAAAGTTTGCCAAGCATTTCCATCCTAGTTTATATTAACCTATTTGTTGTTATTATATATAATGATGATTGTACTTTTGTCATCCATTTTGGTGATTCCAGGGGAGGGACACTCTCAGCCCCCTAGGCTATGCACTGATGTCTAAAGCAAAACAGATTAATTATGCTTTTCCAGTGCAAGGGAGGAGCCAACACAAATCATTAATCTTACACAGTTCCAACATGTAACTAACATTTCCTCACATTTGATAATGAAGCAAAAATATTAAAAATTTAGATTTTATCAGGGCTTTCAACTAACCCACATACTCATAGACATTTATAACCACTTAAAACTGATTTTCCTTAACAATAGGAAAAATCAAACAAACCCAACTCTTGATAAATAGGAAAATAATAAGAATTAATTTAGTGATATGTGAATTTCTTTATCCTAAGATGAAAAGTTTAGTCAAAAATTACCAGTGTTCCACTTTAAGCCACTTATCATGGTACACAGGGACTTTTTTCTCATCCTATAATTTTTTTAACAGAACTTGGTTCAATGTATTGAATGCTTATTAAATAGTCTGAAAAGCAAGTGAAAATAGTCTATTTCTATGTCAGTGTTAGTATTTACTGACTATATCTCACTGATTTCTTTGAGAGTCTATTTAAAATTAACTACAAAAAGATGAAGTTTTAAAATTCAGTTTTCTCAAGAGCTATCTTCTTCACAATTTCATTAAAAAGAAAATCAATCAAAAACATATAATATTCCAATGTAGATTTATAGAGTGGTCCAGAATAAGGATTTGAAGACAATGAAAAACTATGTTTATAGAGCATGAAGTATGCAGAAAACAACTATCCCCTTTTCCAAGAACCAATTCAAGGAATCTGCAGGTAATGAATTCCTCCTGTGACCAGCCCAGTGCTGGGATCCATAAGAAACACTTCAAAATAATGCAGTTATTTATGCTTAATAAATAATAAAATTAGTAAGTAAAAATATTGCTTAGTTTTATAATTTTATTAGTGTATAATTTGAAGGTCATGAAATATACTTTATGGCAACTCAAAACATAAACTGGAAAAAGCTAGGAAAAATGTTCCACTTGTTTGATAAGAGTGTCAACCAAATAAAATCAAAGAAGACCCTAATGATGTAGTCAGGAGTGAAATAACCATATTTTTAGGTGGAATAGTTGAAGCATTTTATAATTATGGTTTGTTTAATGACTTCTATGGTAAAATAGCACAGTTAATTAGGTGTTCTGCAAGTACAGTCACTTGTGAGCCTATTATATAGATTCAGGACTCTTTAAGTTAAATTTCATATTAAACATAATGACTCCATATAATAACAACTTGAACTGTGTATGCTCAATACTGGTTCTAGTCTATAATAATAGTGTTCTACCAACACATTGCTTTAAGCTGTTGGGATTCACTCACTGAGACACAGGTATAACAAAACAAGTAACATTTAAATCTCACCCTCTGGCCAGGACTTATTGAGAAGGAAATGTTCTCCAATATGGCATTTCCACCATCCACATATTTTGCTGTGAGGTCTCTGACAGTCATTTGGCCCCCTGAGGGCCAGATGTCATCTTTCTTCACATGTTGATTCTCAATAATCATAACTTTCGAGAGCTGGCCATTCTTGGATGGTTTGATTGATTTGGTAGGTTGACCTTCTTCTGTTGGCATGTCAATAAACTTAAAGACTCTGCTCACAGATCGCATCTGAAACAGTAACAACAACAAAATTATCTTATTTTGTCGGTTTGGGAACTACAAACAGTACCATGACTAGTTTGATGTTTCCTAAAACTACAAAAAAAAAAAAAGAGTAAATTTTGATGCAAGCTATTTGTCACTTGGTTATTTTTCAGAGTTTTGAATGAAATAACAGGAAATAATTGGATATAATTAAAAGCTTACCCAGAAAGAATTAACTAAGACTTAAATAAATGGGCTCTATACAGACCCGTTCCTGTCTGTTTTTGTGATCATTTAATTCTCAACTACACAAGCCACACATAAATAGCCAAACTATTCTCAAGAGAACAGATGATGTCAAAGGGAAATTTTTTCCTACTAAGAGCAGCAGTATACAATGCTGTACAAGTGGTACGTTATAATAAAATGTACCACACCTCAAAACCCCTGTGAAGATTCTGCCTTCCTCTCCAGCTACTTTAATCACTATCTATAATTCTACATGTTAACTGCATGGTAAGTAGACTCTTGTTTAGTCATTCTAAATAACTTCACAATAATGTTCAAATTTAAGTCCTTGGCATATATCTGTAGCTAAATATTTATATTTTTAATCCAAATTACTTTATTTAGCAATTTCAATTGCTGAGAAAAATGTGACTATATGTAAGAGTTATGTTTAAAATCAAGTATGTATCTGTTCTAGAACAGGTCCTGCTGGGGGGTTGGTATCAGTGGAAGGGGGAGGAGATGGAGGAAGGGTGTAAGAGGGTGGATATACTTTAAACACTGTGTACACATGTATGTAAATGGAAAAATGAAACTGTTGAAACAGGGAAAGAGGGGATAAAGGAGAATGGTGCAGGGGGTGAATTCAGCTATGATATATTTGATATATTGTAAGAACTTTTGTGAATGCACCAATGTACCCCCAACACAACAATAAAAAGTATCTGTTATATAAATCTATTGTTGTGACATTTAATAAAGTATATCTTTAATCTGCACAGAAATGAAGGAGCTCAAGCTCTTTTAAAGGTTTTTAAATTCTTAGCAAAAATCTATTTCTCTGAATAATTATGATTTATTACAATTTAAAATATGATTTTTAAATGGCCTGGCATATAATAAGTACCCAGTAGATATTTGAAAAATTAATAAATGAATGAATATGTTAATGAGTAAACAAATAAGAGTTTGAAGATTTTGAATGACTCATAATTTCTATTTTTAAAAGTTATCCTTAAGCCTTTTGCTTAGCTTTTCTCAGATGTTAAGAGAATATAAGACAGTTTTAGTGCTTTTCTTGAGTCTTAGTAGTAATTGTGATGTTGACTTTACTCAGTCAAGAACTGAATTAACATCCTCCTTTACAATATTAATTTATTATCAATGTATTTATATATCTTATTTACTGCTGAGACTCAGGAAAATAATTCTTTCTAAATAAATGTAGACAGAAATTTATTTGAAGCATTTGTTTTCGTTATTTCTATTTTTCATCATCAAAAGTTAAAATGTGAAAACTTTTTATCTTTAGTATGGAATTATGCAGAGGAGTTTAGAAAATTGATGCTTAATTGAACATTCAAAGCTCATCTTAGCAATTCTAATTTCAATGCCTATTTTCTCATTCCACCGATCAGGCATGTTTTGTTTATGAAGTTCTTTCTTCTTTCCAGTGATTAAACATTTCAGTTTCCTTCATCTTGAAAATATCCTTGAATTATCTTCAATAATCATCCTGTGTTCAGAATAAAACCTTTTAAGTCAAATCTACAGTTAATGGAAATGAAAAGGTCCAAAGCCCACACCCATCACGAATAACTCTGGAGGAAGAAAAAGTGATATAACTACAATTGTTCCCCCATGTACAATTATAAATTCTGAATTCTGAATGACTTTATGGGGCTGTTAAATCTTGATTTAGTTATTCTTGGTTAATTTTGAATTAAACCATACTCATGCATTTCATTGTCATTAACTTTCATTGGGAGCTGCTAGTCTATATAAGGTCTGGAAAATTTAGAACAGTAGTTGTCATTGGGATGGAAGTGCCAGAGAACTAGCTAAAATATATTTATGACATCTTATTGTAGTTATCTTGCATAAGAATAGCATCTCTCTCTTAAAATGATTTCAAGAAATCCACAAAGTTAGCTTAATTTTATAAAATAGACACTTATTTCTGCCTGTGAATTTTGTGAAGAATTCTAAGCGAGTTTTTTTTAAGCATTTTAGTACAGCAAGAAAGATATAAGCTAACAAAAATCTTTCACCCTTTAATACTCCTAGCAACCAAAAAAACATTTAAACATTGCTTCTTAAACTACTCAAAATTATATGTAGTGTTATTAGAAAATACACAAAACTATTTTGGCAGCTTTGGAATATAATATATAATTTTTAATTCATATTAGGTCTAAGCATTGTAAATGATAGTCTCTAGAAGTAAGGTTTACCAAGGAGGGTGAATCTAATGTCAAATATGGAAAATGGAACATACATTTCAAATTTAGAAAATGAAACTTTCCAACTTCCCTTTTTTGGAGTCTACATGCATAAAGGAACTCCAGGCCAAGTTATTCTAGTTATTCCCAGGATGGCCAAATATCCTTGACCAAGAACATGTTACTTCTTAACACTGGGCACTCATTCATACTATTTGGGCAGATATTCTTTCAATTCAATAACTTAGGACATTTTCTGACAGTCGAAAAAGTGGCTAGTGCAGACATTTCATCACAGTCAGTTTTGTAGCCACTGAAATGCCATTCATTATTGGACAGCTAATGTAGCAAATAATATTACATGTTACTAAGTAATTCCTTGTACTTTACAGTACATTGCCCTGAGTGTGACATTCTACCTCACCCTGGATATTTTATTCCCATTGGCCACCTCAGTACCAGAGCAGAGAAAAATCAAGTCCATTAGTTCAAGTTTCAAAAACTGGCTTTTGAAATCAGGCCAGATATTAGTAGTTTGACAGTTTTGAGTCATATATGTCTATTGGCTTTAAGTTTCAGGAGGCTGAGGCAGGAGGATTGCTCTAGCCCAGGATTTGAGGCCAGCCTGGGTAGTAGAGCAAGACACCCCTTCTTAAACAAGCAAAAACAACTAAGCCTGAAAAACTTAAAGCTAATGCTTATGCAAAAATGGTAGACAAAGATGAACTTGTGATGGCTGAGAAATAGCCTCTCTCCTCACCCCACTATCTAACTCAAGAAAGGTTACACATAAATGAGAGCAATTAGGGGATTAGATGCCAGTCCCTCTAACAAGGAGTCCTGTCTTGCAGCTTAACCCTGATTCTAGCCTAAGCAGATTTGGAGGACTTTAGAACATGGGAGGCCTGTGCCTCAATTCCAATGGGGGAACCCAGGAAAAGAAGCATGCTGGAGAAAAGCTTCTGGTGTTGACATGCATAGGCACAACTGATTTGATACAGGTTTATATAGCCCCACATTTGCACAGTCATGCTAAGGAGAAGCCAGATTGAATCTTTTGATATCTTAGGGACATGGAAGAAGCTGAAAGTTCAGCAAAAGTGAACTCACAGTCAGGACAAGAAGGACAAACAACCCTACCTAGCTGGGTCAGACAGGAGCATCAGTGAGTTGGTAACAGTGAGCTTGGACAAAGGACACTATTTGGCCAACACTTCCTCCATCCTGATAACTTGGAACTCTGTAAATGCTATTCAAAACCTGCCCAGTAAGGTTGTTTTTTGTACTTAGTAAAATTCATATTCAAACTGGAATAAATTCACCTACTGAAAAATTAAAGTCATATTTCTTACATATTTTATTTCTTGGTCAAAAATTCATATCTACTATCAGAAATGGATCTAGTGTTGGCAAGTCCTAAAGCTTAGGTAATTTGAGGGATTCTTCTTAAGAAAAAGAATACAAATTATACATATAAAATGAAGTATAGGGCTTTTATGGTTTGGATCTTAAGAGTCCCCAAAAGGCCATGTGTTAAAGGCTTGCTCCTTAACTGATGGCACTGATGGGAGGTGGCAGAAACATTAGAAAGTATGGCTTAGTTCAAGGAAGTTGGTCATGGAGATGTGTCCTTGAAGACCTTATTTTTTTTCTCAGCCCCTTCCTATCCTTCTTTACTATCTTTGTTTCCTGGCTGCCATGAGGTGAGCAAATTTCTCTATTACGCATGTCTATTGCCATCATTTCTGCCTCACCACAGGTCTAAAAGCAATAGAACCAGCTAACCATGGACTGAAACCTTGAGCCAAAATAAATCTTTTAAATTGTTATCTCAAGTATTTTGTCACAGCAACAGAATGCTGACTAACACAAGTACCTTTAAAGAGGTCCATGCAAATAAGAGGTTCTTAAGCGTCTGTCTCACCAGCTTGGTGATAAACCCATTGTGCCTTTTATAGTAACCTTTCAAAACTTTCCTGTAGTGCTGAAATGATGAAATATTCAAAGCATTCTTCTCCAGCTACTGCTTATCACCAAGCAATCACTTAATAAATCTTCGTTAAGAATGAATGAATTCATTGTTCTCCCTCCTATGCAGAAGGCAGCATTTATGCAGTGAAAATGGTCAGACTATGAGGATGCTAGTGCATGTTGTCCAGGCTGTAATTTTATTCCTCAGCTTCTCAGTCTGAAAACATACATTGCTGTTTGGATTAGACAGGAGTCACTACACACCAAATTCTTTTTAGTCTCATCTGCTTGACTTCAATGAACTTTTTGACCTCAATTAATCCTTTTTTAGAATGTCTACTATACATTTTCACATGACATGTGAAAGTCACAGTGTCATTGTCTAGCTACCTGGATTGTGCTGGAGAGAAATTCAGAATAACCAATTACCAGACTGACCAACAACTTAACTTTAGGCTGCATAGAAAAGAGTTTCAAGAGAAGGAATGTGTAGGCAGCCCTGTCTAGGCAGAAAGTTAGCCCCAGGAATAGGATATCTCCTGTGTCTACCACCATGTTAGATAATGGCACCTTTCTTAGACTTTGAGAAGTAAAAAGATAAAG